ACTATGTTCTCGTTACGCTCGGAGCAGGTATTTGTCACGGTATGCTGACTTTTTTAGCGATCTCGTAGACGTACCTAGTTTGAATTCAGTAGAACTGCGAACAACAGCGCTTCTCGTCGGACTTCTACATTGCAACATCATCGAGCACACTGGGAATCAAAATGCTCTGCCTTCATGAAATAGACTGTTGTCTGCGTGAGCGATGCCGACCTGGATTAGCATACGAACATTAAACACCTGCCTTCATGCTCGATTTTTACGCATCTAAAGAATGTTGAACAGCGTTATATACATCTTAAATCCTGTATCAACCCATTCGGCTGTCATTCCAGCATCAGGATGGCAATGTGCTATCACAGCAGTTTAATGCATGCCAACATTATGTTGCGTACCGTTCACTGGGTAGGTGGGTTGTTTGGTCTCATCTCGTCTGCCCATGATCGCTGTTCCTTTTAGTTCAATCATCATCTTCTCTTGGTCGGTGTCGCGAAATGTTCTTTGGCTTCAGAGACGAAAATCATCAACAAAGAGAACTTTTAACTTAACTATTATTTTATAAACAAAGCCGATGGGTACATCTATCAAGTGGCGGAGGGTTACTACCCCCCGCCATTAGGGAGCCGTTTCCAAACACGAAAACTCACACGTCCATTTCTTATGACGTGTAACAACCAACTCTCGAAAGACCCTTCCTCACTGAGGTTGGGGGTGCACCATCGGAATCTACAGGTCTAGTTAGCTTGACGTCCAAACAGCAACTTCCGAAAAGCCTTAATCTATAACTCATTCCCACATTCGGCTCAGTCAATCAAAACCGGCATCCTTATTTTGTCTACTATCTGACCTTAAATGTCAGCTTCAGAAGGTCTGAGCCAGAATACAATGAGACTAAAAAATAATAGTCTGAAACTATTATTTAACAATTATATCCGTGTGATACCATGATACTATGCGTGTTGTTGGACAACTTCCTTACTTAGCAGGATAGTCACAAATGACACGATTTGAACGTGAATATGTTGGAATGCTTCTTGAATTATTTGGTTAGCCTCCAATTTTATTAGTATTCAACCAATACATTGCTCAAGTGCCACGCATAGGAGAGGGTTATTGAATGAGGGGTTACATGAATGAAAGAGAGAAAGTAGAAAGTGGACATTGTGAAGATATGGGAGATAGGTTAATGATGGGCAATTCATTTCAAGCGGTTAATATTGTAATTTTCCGGAAAGTATCTACACGGTAGTATTTCCCCCCCCAAAGTAGCTAAAATTCCTCCATATAACTAGAATACGGGGCTGGTTTATGTTAGCGTTGTTGAAGTCCTTGGATGTAATATGGCGGGTGTTCGATGTAAAGGTTGAAACTACTGGAAGTAAAGAACGTAGATTGTTAGAGCATTTCACATTCTCCCCCCCCCTCAACCACCACAAAACCGCGTCATCCGCTTTGAAAAGTGGGCACTGGTCAGCTCCAGAACAGATATAGCCGCAATACACTATTTTGCATACAATCCGACCCTTGTAAAGATAGAGCATGACAGACGTAGTAATTTCTTGAGATAAAATACGCCGATTTAAACGTCTAGTTGTATTTCCTCAAAAAACGTAAGATACATCGAAGAATAAATAGCCAGTTGCTATTAGGTACCTGCACGATTGTATGTACGCAAAAGTAGATACCAATTTTGCATTTTCAATTTCTTTTTCCTTTATTTTTACCCATGTGTGATATATTTTAAAAAAAACTTTCTTTTTTATACAAAGAAATAAATTAGACGTAATATATGATTAAATTTTCAATTTTTAAATTTGAGAGCGCTCTAAAATATTCATAAAACCAACCGTGTAAGGAAAGGTAAACGTTGGAGCCAGCTAGGTAATGTAATTTAATCCCTAATAAACGATAGTGAGTAAACGTGGTTGTTGCTATATAAATCTGAAATAAAATTTGTCACTTAGCTGAATGATGTTATATTCAGCATCTCGACGTGCTATGCCATTTAGCTACAGAGGAAGCATCTGGTCAGCAAAGTCAATTAGCTTTGTAGCTAAATGGTATAATACGTCAGGCTATATGACAATTCCGTGTAGGATACAGTTTCGATTCCTATCGGAAGATATATTTTCTATGAAATTTCTCGGACATTCAGATCGGTAAATTTTGTTAATACTGTTCATTATAAACAGAGCATTAACTTAAATATTTGTATCTATAAAAATAACGTGTGTGTGTGTGTGTGTGTATATATAAATATAAATATATATATATATATATATATATATATATATAAATATAAATATATATATATATATATATATATATATATATATATATATATATATATTGACTCAGTATACATTGTGAGGGTTAATTTTTCAATGTCTTCTTTGCATGATATAACGAGCTAATCTTAGTAGTCTCTTCTTGATTCCGTCTTTTTGTTGCTATTTTCATTAAAACCTGCGATTCCCACATACAAACATCTTCAAATTCCCAAACATTCAACATACCTCTGTGTCTATCATTAAGTTGTCGTGCTCGTTGGACTTGTTAAATTTCATTTAGTCATTTGCAAAAGAAACTCGATTTCATGACACTTGTAATTGAACACCGCTCCTTCTAAAAGGCTATTAAGTGTTATAACCTACTTAGCCATTATCTAATATCCAGTACGCTACAATGGTTTCTGTCTGCCTTTGTTGAACGGAAATAAAAAAAAAATGAACAGGGGAGGTAATCCATTTTTGTTTTTCTTCGACAGTTCACAACAAAATAGAACTCTTCCATATTTTAGGCATGAATCATACATTAGCCTCTTTTGTTCATTCCCCTTATCGACTCCATTTTTTTAAACTGGGGATTGTAACGGATGATATTCAAAGTAGTTTACTTATTAGCCGACACTTAAGTCGTGGCATGCTCGATGCCAAGATGCGATCAAGCGTTAGAACCGGAGGATGCAAAAAGAAGAAAAAAAAATACGTGTTTGACAATGCTTTTCCAATTCTTATGTTAAAATCCATCAGCAAAGACGCAACAAAGAAAATAAGGAAGATAAGGCTGGTATGCGGCAGGGAATTGGCGGGTGGTGTGATAACGTTTAGGAAGATGGCTGATGCGGAATTCAAGTGGGGAGAAACTGTTAAAAGTGTGGCATCAGGAAGATAAGAAATGGATATTTTGGTGAAAAAAAAAGAAATAATAGAGAAAAAAAACTAAGAGGAAAATAAGCGTGAAGTAGTTTAATATATTCCATTTACTTTTACCAAAAAGTTTCAGTGAGAACTAGAATATAAATTATTGATAAGCTGGGTCTTAATCGTAATGTCTATGATATTACAATTATTTTAATACTTATCTGACAAGTTAGACAACTGTCGTTGAACAATAATAATTCCAATAACAATAATAATTTCTATAATGATATCATTTCTTATTGCTATTTAACTGATTAAGAAAATAGAAGGAGGGATGGCGAGTAAAACACTGGTAGCCATTAAATAATGTTTAGAGTAATAATATCGGATTAAAAAAGCATTAAAAAAATACAGTCGCAGACGATTCGGGTAAAAACTCAAAGGAGCAGATATAGATTCGTAGAAGTCTTAATGAGGAATTTCTTAAATAGGTGAATTGTAATTTTGCTATACCGTGAAGGTCTCACGTGACTAAATTTGTAGCGTACGGTTTCCTGATCGAATAAAGAATATATTTTCAATTTCGGTGGGACTTCTTAATCTAACCTCATTCTTAATATTGTCAAAGTTTTAAAATATATACAAAAAACGTGTACTTACTAAAACAAAGTTTATAGTAACAACACACACACACATATATATATATATATATATATATATATATATATATATATGTATGTGTGTGTGTGTATATATATATATATATATGCCATTCCCAGACAGTAATGCTTCGCTGTATCACAGCTCCTCGGTGCGACTAGACAACCGAATTCCCCAAGGCTGGATCGAAAGCCAAACGATTTGATGTCAGCCAGAGCTTCTAACACTGACCTATCTTCACTGAACAGAACGATCCGCCCAAATCTAGCGTATTGTTTTATTTTACAAACGTAAACAAACCCCAAGGAAACATAGCGGTGCATTCATTTTATTGTAGAGCTTATATATATTATCCCTCACCTATTACACGACTCAGAGTTTCATGCACAACTAAGTATAGTCTATTCTTAGCATCAGAAGATTGCTGAATAGTTCCGATTTATTATATCGAGCACTGTTTTATTAAGACTAGCACTATATGCGATAATATATATATATATATATATATATATATATATATATATATATATATATATATATATATATAATATATAAATAAAATAAATATATATATATGTATAATTATTTAATATGCGCGGTAATATCAATATCAGAGATAGAGCAACATATTTGGTTGGATAGATATTTGTCGTCAGACAACGTGAAACCCAGGGTCACAAAACGTACATCTATCCAACTAAATATTATATTTATATATATATATATATATATATATTTATATATATATGTTTCATTTAATAATATAGACGTCTTGTCTCTTTATTTTATGTAAATTCTTTTCAAACGTCTGAACATAACATTATCATTAAACGAAGAAAGAAAATCACAATACTGATCCATATTTTTTAATCCAATCTAAGCTTTCGGCTTACATAAGCCATTATCAAAGATGTCAGTTTCTGTACAATATATTAAGGAATATACAGACAAGACAGTGATGATAGTCTGTTATATATATATAGTCATCCACAGTCAGACTGTTTCGCTGTATCACAGCTCTTCAGTGTAGCTAAACGTCAGATTGCCTCAAGCCGGGATCGAAACCCGATCTATTTGGCATCAGTCAAAGATCCTACACTAGGCTATCGTCGCAGGGCTAAAAGAAAATGAAAATTTAACGTTTTCTATATGAAATACGCCAGTGGAGGGGAGAGCTTGATTCAGTTGAAGAGGAATGCGTTAATACATAGATAGATAGATAGATAGATAGATAGATAGATAGATAGATAGATAGATATGACGCTATACAAAGCCTGGTCCCAATGCCTTCCATGCTTCTATAATTGAAGTTGTTAACTTGTTAAATTTTATCTAAATGATTTAGTATATGCTTTGCTAGTGTAAATATCGCGTTCATTACTTTGCTTGTCAGCTTCGTGAGTTTTCAAATTTGGAAATATTCCACAAAGGCTGACACAATGTCCACTTCTGTTCACGTACTAGAATAGTGAGGAATGTATCCCATTCATCCCTTTGTTGACGATATTCAGTCACCCCCACCACGAGGGTGTCATGTGGCACAAGGCCTTTTTAACGTGGGCATTCCCGAGCCATTAGGCTCGGCCAAAAAATAGCCCATTTGAACCCGTATAAACGGGTTCAGGGCCGGTTTTACCTCCCCGAAGGAGACTTCGCCCGTAGGAAGAGAGTTTAACCGAACAGTCACCCAGAAAGTACTTTGTTGACGTAATGCTCTATCAATCAATAATAATCGTCGTTGTCTCTATCTCGCATCTAAGAATTTAATCTCTTCTTTTGCTGATCGCTTTCGTTATGATGATGCCTTTGATGATTAAATTCAGCGCCAACCTGAGGGTTCAGGACTAGAAGCTTCCAGATTCACTAAAACCTGCTCCCCGTCATCCATTCCCTATCGCCGTTTGGCTTTGCAGGTTTAGCTTAGTGCTGAAAGCAAATCAGAGCAGAAGAAAATGCCGATGGCGTGAATTTAATTTAGGTGAACCTCAACTTACCAGGAAGTGAGCCAAACACTTGATTTCATGAGACATTCAAAATATAGTGATGAAACTGCAACGGGCTGCCACCTTCCGCGCGATGTTCGTCATGCATAGCGCTCTTTATCCTGCTCGTTCAACCGTTGAGATCTGTTGAAAATGTTATCCGCTTGTCCCACCGTTGAGGTTTTGGGAGTTGGTCGCGCTTAATCTGGGTTCTCATTCTCGACGTTGCTACCAGAAATTTAGATCTCCCGACGGCATAAGTCTCAGAGTCATTGGACCATTCAATCCCCTCCACCACCACAAAGAGCTTCCATCAGAGATACACAAATATAAAGATAAGTAATAATAATAATAATAATAATAATAATAATAATAATGATAATAATAAAGAATTATCCCATTTTTGGTTGCAACACATAAAAGGATAAAACCTAGTCATGAAGGAATATCTGCATAATCCTCTTCTTCTATATGTTGGCAATCATGGCTCTCCATAATTTACCGTTCTTTGTAGATCTTAATAAATATGGGTCTTTTTGATATCGCTCCTAAAACCTACTCTGGCTTACATTTATTCAAGCTCGCTAGGAAAGTCATGCGTTATTTCTTCTGTCCCACTTGTTTTCAATAGGTCCTATGCGTTTCAAATTTTCCAAGTCCTCTTTTCTCAGGATGTGTCCTAGAAATTTCAACTGTCTCTTTCCGATATTAAGGATATGTGTCTTTTTGTTTCCATCTTCTCTAAAACTTCGTCTTTGCTTCATGACATTCTCAGCATCCTTCTGTAGAACCACATTTCTGTTGGTTCAAGTCTATTCTTCATTAGTGAGATGATTGTCCAGCATTCACTGGCATATAGGAGGACCGATATTACAGTTTTCTTTGTTACTAACGAATTTTTCACTTTTCTTAATACTTTGCTTAGCTTTGGAAAGTATTTTTCGCTG